TCTTTATTGCCCTGGCTGGTTGTAGTTCAGTGGATTGAGCACAGGCTACAACCAAAGGGTCGCCAATTTGATTCCCAATCAGGGCGCATGCCTGGGTTGCGGGCCAGGTCCCCAGTGTGGGGCTTGTAGGAGGCAACCACACATTGATGTCCCTCTTCCTCTCTCTCCTTCTCTTCCCCTCTCTCTAAAAATGAATTTTAAAAAATTCTCTTTTTTAAAGATTTTATTTATTGATTTTTAGAGAGAGGGGAAGGGAAGGAGAAAGAGGGAGAGAAATACCAGTGTGTGCTTGCCCCTTGCACACCCTATACTGGGAGCCTGGCCTGCAACCCAGGCATGTGCCCTGACTGGGAATCAAACTGGTGACCCTTTGGTTCACAGACCTGCGCTCAATCCACTGAGCTACACCAGTCAGGGCTAAAAAATTCATTTTAAAAAAGACTTTATTTATTTATTTTAGAGAGAGTTGAGAAAGAAAAGAGAGGTAAAGAAACATCAATGGGTTGCCTCTGGGCCTGTAACCCAGACATGTGTCCTGAATGGGAATTGAACCAGTGACCCTTTTGTTCACAGGCCAGTGCTCAATCCACTAAGCCACACCAGCCAGGGCTAGATTAGTTTTTCAAGAATATCAACTCAATGTAGGGAGCTGGCCAGGCCTGGAGGTGGGGTTATACGTTACTTCAGTAATCCAGGTGAGCTTCAGCAACGGCATCAATTCTGGTTTGGAGTTGGGGGAAAGTGGAATTTTGGAAATAAGAGGATAAAATGCAAGTATGTTAGGTTTTGGGAGGTATTTCTGGCTTGCATAACTAGGGGCCATTTAAAAAGAAAGGTATTGAGGACCTGGCTGGGGTTGCTCAGTAGACTGAGTGCTGGTCTGTGAACCAAAGGATCACCAGTTTGATTACTAGTAAGGTATATTCCTGGGTTGTGGGCCAGGTCTCCAGGAGCAGGTGAGTGACAAGCAAATGCACATTGATATTTCCCTCCCTCTCTTTTTCCCTTCCCCTTTCTAAAATTAAGTAAGTAAAATCTTTTAAAAAATAAAAAGAAAGGTATTGGGGAAAAACAGGCAGAATGCCACTAATTTCCTTTTGAAATGGTTGTGTCTCAGCTGCATTTTTAAAGACATCCAAGGAAGGTGTAGTTGTAGGTTTGGTATTCAGATTAAAAGGAAGCATACATCTGAGTTATCTGCATCTAGGTGGTGGTTAAAGTAATGAGCATGGATACATTTATTCATTGTAAATATTATGTACCTATTATGGCCCAGTTTGTCAACTTTAAGTTCAATTGCAACAGAAACCAAATAATATAGAAGTTTACTTCTCTCACAAGTCAAGAGGTAGACAGTCCAAGGCATGTATGACAGTCATGCCACCACAAGGTCCTTAGGTATTACCTCTCCCCATATTTCAGCTCCACAATTCCTGGGGTCAGACCCTCCTATTCACAGCAAAACTCCAGTTTGCCCATCCATGCTCCAAGCCTCAGAACTGAGGAAGGGTAGAACACATGAACTGTCTTGAAGGAAATTTCCTCGAAGCTAACATACAACTCTTCAATTTATGTGCTACTGGTCATAACTTAATCCTGTGGTCAATACTTAGCTGCCAGTAAGACTTGGAAAAGTACTCTATTCAGTTAGCCATAGGCTAAGCAAAATGTTGGACTTTCAGCAGGTGAAAACAGGGTAAGATGAATATCCTCTACCAGCCACTATCCGCTAGAATTTCAGATGTAGTAGAAAATAAGACAGGAAAAGTGACAATGCCCTTCCAGCCAGAGACCACCAGGAACAACACACCTATAGTCAAACAAAGTTTGGTTTATTGACTTTAAAGATGTTATCTCATTACAAGGGTTAGGAATGACAGGATTAGGGTCTGTGTTAGGTGATTGGGGGGAGGTTCAAGAAAGGGGATTTGTTCTAGATTGGGAACTCTTGGGAAGTAGAGGCAAGTTTACATCGCACATCTTATCTCATCTAGAAGGGAGGAAAAATACCTTGGCTGGTGTGCTCAGTGGATTGAGCATTGGCCTGAAAACCAGTAGGGGGCGCACTAGAGGCAACCACACATTGATGTTTCCTCACTTTCTCCCTTGCTTCCCCTCTGTCTAAAAAAATTAATAAAATCCTTTTAAAAAATAAGAAGAAATGAAACATGGCTAAAGCTGTAACTTGGTAAAAAATAAAAAAAGCAGCCATCACTCATTGCAGCCAACAGGAGGCTGTTTACTATGGTTTAGTATTTATGGTTTACATGGTGACCCTGTTTTTGTCCATGCTTAGACAAGATTATGAAATTTGTCTTCATTGCTGTCACTGAATGGCCTTACCCGCCACAGGTGTCCTGTGAGGCTCATGATGAACATGAGCGCATGTGTCCTAGCTGTGAGTGCCAGGCCATTTCCCAGTCATCAGGGCCTATTTTTTCTCAAAAATAAATAATTACAGATTGTGATTAATTATATAAAGGAAATAAATGGTATATTGCATAGAGTAGAGGTGTCAAACTCATTTTCACTGGGGGCCACATCAGCCTCGAGGTTGCCTTCAAAGAACCAAATGTAATTTTAGGACTGTATGAATGTAACTACTCCCTAACAGTTAAGCAAGAGCTCAGTGCTGCTGCTGGGTAGAAACAAGGTGCTGGGCCAGATAAAACAAGGTGAAGGGCCAGACACCTGTGACATAAAGAATAACACTTGGGGGCTACTCAAGACATAGTGGTTAGGAAAGACCTGACTGAAGAATCTGTAGCTAAAGTCACCTGGGAGGAGAACATCAGGTAGAAAGAAGAGAGGGTCCAGAACTCAGCCTTGAGGAAACTGACATTAATGGGCAAGTCAAGATGGACAAGGATGAGCCAGACAAGTAAACATGAGGTATGGCCAGAGAGGCAGGAGAGATCTCAGAGTGCAGTGTCTTGTGGTTACTCTGTGTTCTTCATATGTATTGTCTTATTTAAGCCTCATATTCATTCAGTGAATGCTTTAGTGCCTTCTCTGAGCCAGGTGCTAGGGGCTAGGGGTATACCAATTAAAAAGACAAAATTCACATTTATATGGTGCTTATAGTGTATTGAGGATGACCAACAATAAGGACATGTATAATATAATCTTAAGAAATAAGTGCTCTGAAGAAAAACAAAGTGAAGAAAGAGGCTGGAGAGTCAGTACTACAATACATAGGGCTTTGAGGAGGTAACATGCCAATAGAGCCCAAAACTAAATAAGAAGGCAACCACATGAATATCTGGAGGAAATGCATTCCAGGCATAGAGAACAGCAAGGGCAAAGGCCCTGAGGCAGAAATGAGTCTTAGTATTTGAAATAAAAATAGAAGGTCTGTGTGGCTAGCTAGACTGCAGGAGATTAGATCAGAAAGTTTGACAGGCCAAGTCATACAAAGCCCTGTAAACCAAAGCAAAGCATTTGGATTTTATTTGGAGTGATTTGAGCAAATTATTTACATTTTTAAACTACTACTAACTGAAGGATAGACTTGAGAATGAGAATAACAGCAGGAACACCAGTTAGGAGGTCACTTCTGTCATCCATGGGAAAGATGGTGGCTTGGTCTGGGATATAGGTGGAGAAAGCTGGGGGGATTTAGGATGTGTTTTAAAGTCTTAGTTGATGACAAGAGTGGGCATCCTTGTCTTGTTCCTGATCTTAGAGAAAAAGCTTTCAGTGTTTCACCATTGAGTATGATATTATCTGTGGGTTTGTCACATATAAGCAATTGGATTCCTGAGCCTGAAGCTTACAGCAGAGGTTGAAGGCAGTAAGAGACATGTGCACATGTTCATCAGTTATGGATGGCTTTTATTTTTTAAGGTTTTATTTATTTATTTTTAGAGAGAGGGGAAGAGAGGGAGAAAAACATCAGTGTGTGGTTGCCTCTCACATGGCCCCCACTAGGGATCTGACCCGAAACCCAGGCATGTGCCCTGACTGGGGATCAAACCCACAAACTTTTGGTTCACAGCCCACGCTCAATCCACTGAGCTACACCAGCCAGGGTGTGGATGACATTTAAAGTCATGAGACATTGGTAACAGGTCTAGAAAGAAGAGTGTCAAATAATAGTCCCAAAATACTTCAACATTTAGACTTCAGAAGAAGATGCCAGGAAGAGAGGGGAAAGGGAGGAGCCACTGAGATGGAAAGGAAACCTGGAGAAAGCAGTGTCCCTGAAGAAAGCCAAGGAAAGGGGGAGTGACCATCTGTATTACATGACGCTGAGAAAGGATAAGGACTGAGAACTGACTCTAATCCGTTGACCCTTGGCAAGATGAATTCAGCCCATGGTGGGGACAAAACCATGACTGTAGTTGTTTGAGGGTAGAATGGGGGCTGAGTGGGCTGCCAGGCACTTGCTCTCACACTTATCAAAGCCGTAGTGTTAGAACTGAAGCCAAATCTTGATGGCGGTGGTGGTTTAATGGGTGTATATATGTCAGAACTCACCAAAATGTACACTTTGCAGTTTCCTTGTCAATTTATTATATGTGCATTTTATTGTATACTACAGTAAAGCTTTTGCCAAAAGGGGGGGGGGGGTGGAGTAGGAGGACTTAAGCTCCATCCCACCGTGATTTCTGTTAGGCTAGAGTAATTCCTCGTTTACAACTATTAACTTGGAGGTTTTGTGATACATCTCAACACTAGGCCCACAAGTCCTGAAAAGATGGACTGTGCTTTCCTGCTCCTAACCAGACGTAAGGGGCTGGTCGAAGGTAAGCATCCACTCAAGAAAAAATAGGATGCCTCCATTATTTCGTACTAGTCGGAAATTAGTGATGCTGAATCTGGGGCTTCCCAGATTTGACATAAAAGCACCCCCTACGCCGGGAGCTGGCTAACGCCGGCCCGCCCCAGTCGTTGCGAACCACGCCCCCACCGATTGCAGGCACGCCCCGGAGTTGACGGTGTGGCCTGCACGAGCGCCGCCAGGGGCGGGACTGGTAGTGCAGGCGTGGGGATGCCGTCCGATTTGCAGCCCCACGCTACCGGAAGCGGAAATAGCGGCTGGCGCCGCCAGAGTGTACGTAACTGCCGTCGTGATGCCGAAGGGTCCCAAGCAGCAGCTGCCGGAGCCCGAGTGGATCGGAGACGGAGAAGGCACGAGCCCCGCAGGTGAGGCTCGTGGGCAGGGAGGGAATAAAAGAGGGAAGAGGAGAGAAAGAAGAATGCCTCTGTTTTAGGAGAGGGTCATGGAACGCGAAACTGACAGGGCCGTGCGGGACTACTGCGCATGCGTGCATTGGGGTGAAGAAGCATTTTCCCAGTCAGTAGTGGGTTTAGGGTGTGGGGCGAAAGGAAAAGTGACGCGTGTAGCTCAGGAACTTAAGTTGGACTGGTTAAGAGACAAGGAAGAACATGTGGAACCGGAGGAGAAATGGGGAGAAATGAGAAAGTCCTGTTTTCTTCTCTTTCGGATATGTTCCGCACCACACTGTATTCTACATCCCACAGAAGTCCTTAAGCAGTACCCGGACCTCGCCGCGCGATAGCGCTGCCGAGCACATATACAGACACCCCCCTGAGGAGCCCATGATCCCACCTGCTTCTCGAGAGAGGATGGCTCCTACATGGGCTCTTTCATAAGGCACATCTGACTCACCTGGAGCACGAGTGAAGATGCTGAGTGTTGGAATGGGACTTAAGGTTTACTTGGAAAAAGCGAATGTTTGTTGAACACTCGTTTTTAATTAAACACTGTATATATTGTGCTTTGGTTGGGGGAGGGAAAAATTATGAAGACATACTGCCAGCCTTGAAGACACTTTAAGGGGAAGATAAAATGGATTATCTTCCATTTTAATTCCAAATAATTGCAGTAGGTACACAGTGACCAAATAATTGCAGTAGGTACACAGTGACCAATTTTACATTTATTGGATGCCTCCTGTATAGCTGGTCCTGTGCAGAGTTACCAGGAATGTAATATAAAAGATACACCTTGCTTTGAAGGAGCACCCACTCCAGTGGAAGGGACAGAACATTAATTAGTCAGTGGTTGACATAGTATTTTATGAATGCTTGAGAATGCTACAGGACTGAGAGAAGAGAACAGACTTCTTACTCAGACATGTAGTCTTAGCAAAGCTTCCCAGGAATATATGATAGTAAATTCATTCTTGGAGGATCAGTATGAGTTGGTTAGGAAGGAAAATATTCCAAGCAGAGGAAGAAGTGTGTGCAAAGCTGGATTCCACTATTATTTGGTGACTAGTGTGATGGAGCTGGGAAGATGTGCAGGAGACAGATAATGAAAGGCTTTATACACTATTCTGAGGAGTTTAATCCTCAAGACATTAAGAAGGAAGGCCTACTAAAATGCATAAGGAAAGATACAATCAGTTCACCCCAGCAACACTGAGCAGTGCAGAATGGCTTGATTTGGTGGAGATTGGAGGCAGGGAGACTGCTTAGGAGGTTGTCAGAATGATCCAGGTGAGAAATGGTAAAAGAGTGCCCAAAGGCCTGAAGAGTAAAGAGTTATTAAGGAAGTAGCATTGACCAGAACTGGGAACTGACTAATGGAAGGGAGAAGAATTAGGGATGATATTCACTTAAGTAACCCAGTGGGTAGTAGGGTATAATTGAAAGCAGAATGGGCTGTAGGCTGAGGAGTGGGAAGAGAGAAGTTTTGAATGCCGAGTTTGAGCTTTCTGTGCAATTTTTAAGAGGAGATGGAAGGGAGAAAATTTGTGGCCGTGGAGAGAGATCTACACTAAAAGGGAAGACACAGGCAAGGGTAGTTGAAGCTTTGGATGTGGATGCAGATTGAAGCAAAATAGGACACAAGATGGGAACCCAGAAGAATTTCGACAATTAAGGAAAGTAGTGCAAGGTAGAGAAGGAGGCTGAGGAGATGAGACTTAGAGGCAAGCAGCCAGAGACACTGAGGCAAACGTGGAGCAAGCAGGATTCCTGAAGTTAAATGATAGGAGAGAAGTAAAAGGTAGGCAGCATCGAATGTTGCTTGAAGGACTAAATGTTGCAGCTTAAGGACTGAATGTTGCAAATAAGGACTAGAAAAATACTTTTGGGGTTGAGCAACTAAGGGGACAGTAGTAACTTTGTCAAAAGTAGTATTCATGAGGAGGTGACACCCAAAGCAGATTGCAGTATATTTGAAAAGGAATAGGGGTGAGGAAGTAGAGCTACTGTGGACAATGTTTTTGAGACCCAGTGAAGACAGGATAGAAAACAAGTGATTGAGGGAGGAGACTGTAAGATTAAGGAAAGTGTTTTATTTGCCTTTGAAGTTAGGATCAGCATAAATGATGTGTAAGGGGAGGAGCTTTTACAGGAGAGATGAAAGATACGGCCTAGCTTAGCCACCACATTTACCTTATTCTATTTCTTGGAGATTAATTACACTTCCTCACAATTGAACCTGTACAAGGCTTTTCCTCTCTCTCAGGTCAGGAGGGTCAGAGTGATGATTAAAGTACAAAAGAGATTTAAAGGAAGAAGAGATGGGCTGCTTGTGTTAGTCCTTGGGGGAGATAATGGTGTCTGGGATTTGTCACTGCTAGATGTTGTCAAGGTGAGCTGATCATGTCATTACTTTTTTTTCTTTTTTATGTTGTTGCTTCCTAATGCACTTCAGTGGATCCTCCTTCCTAATGTCTTTAGGATTAGACTCCTTGGAATAGCATATAAAGCTTTTCATTATTTCTCCTGCACGTCTTTTCAACTCTATCCCACTTGTCACCCAATACTGAGATCATATTGTGAAGTGTGTTCTGGATGGAGGACTTCAGCATGCCTGGGACTAAATCAAGGAGCCAGGAGAAGCCATTGTCCAGAACATAGGTGTTGGTAGAGAGACAGAGATATAGCAGAAAAGGTAGGATAAGGCCCTTTCAAATTGAAGTTCTAAATTGTAGGGATTGTCCTCATTAATCACCAGTTTTAAGCATAGTGGATCTGCAGTAAAACTTTCCTAGATAAATGATTACTATGGATTACATAGAATTCTGGTCTGAGAAGTACTTTAATGTAGTAAATAGCAAAGAGCTATTGGGGTTTTTTGTTTGTTTATTTAAGCTAAACGATTATAGGAGTGCTTTTGAATAAGATGGGATAGTTGGAGGGAATATGATGGTGGATAGACCTGGACATGTAGGGAAATCATGAAGCTGCTGGTTGTCTTCCAGACTGGGTTGGTGGTGGAAGGGAGATGGGGAATTAGACATAGTCCGCTGCCCTCAAGGAAATGAAGATGGACAGAAGGGAGAAGCTGAAATTTATTGTCAGTAAACTTTTAATTTATTAATTTTAGAGAGAGAGAAACATTGATTTGTTCCACTTATTTGTGCATTCATTGGTCAATTCTTGCATGTGCCTTGACTGAGGATCAAACCTGCAACCTTGGCATATTGGGATGATGCTCTAACCAACTGAGCTACCTGGCCAGGGCCAGTTAGTAAACTTTTATGTACTTCCTTGTTTGCTCCCTGGGAACACAAGCTACTGGTAAATAGTGCTGCAGGTGTCTAAGAGGAAACACTCTGTTATCTGTGGGTCACATAGTGTGATCTGAGCTAGAATGCTGTACAAGCAGAGCAGATGGGGCATCGACTCAGATGTTCAATACTTACCAGACACTCATTTACGTGGCCTGTAAGTTTCACAAACAGCATATCCCAAACTGAATTCATAGTTATCTTTGTCCTACCTTGGGTGGCAAGGGTGGGGAGAGGGAACCTTCTCTTCCATTATTTCGAGTTAATAAATGGTATCATAGCACAACTAATTTTGAAAGCTGCATACATAGGAATCATCTCTGGCTGCTCTTTCTGTCTTCCCACCTCTACCATCACCTGATTTCTACTTTCTCCCTCCCTACTGCCACCCTAGACCAAGCTACCATTGTTTATCTCGTGGGATAGTGCAAGTATGTAGGGAATGATAGTTTTACTAAAAAAAAAAAAAAAAAAAAAAAAAATAGTAAAACAGGGTAGAGGCCATTGAGTGCTTTGCAGATCAGGATGCTTTGAAATTTGCAGATAATCATTCACAATGTCTGCTTAACCTTCTAGACAAAGTGGTGAAGAAAGGGAAGAAGGACAAGAAGAATAAAAAGACGGTGAGGAAATGAGGGTTGAACCTGACAGTTGATTGTGAGTGTTTCCATGTGAAGATAGTGGGAGGTCTAGGGGGAGAAAAGATCTTGTCAAGAGAGGAAGCAAGGCACGGGTGGAAGGGACGGTCAGTGGGCCTGTGTGTGGCAGAGGGGCTTGGTGGGTCTCTGAGCCATATTTACCTATATCTGAACTCTAGTTCTTTGAAGAGCTGGCAGTAGAAGATAAACAGGCTGGGGAAGAAGAGAAAGCACTCAAGGAGAAGGAGGAGCAGCAGCAGCAGGTACAAGTTTCAGGGGCCCACTAACCCCTCTCCAGTCTACATTGGTTCAGCCAGGTGATGGGGAACTCTCTGTGAGGCGGAGATACTGTAGGGACCAGGGCCTCAGACTCATTCTCATACTCTCTTTCCTTTAGCAGCAAAAAAAGAAACGAGACACCCGAAAAGGCCGGCGGAAGAAGGATGTGGATGATGATGGAGAGGAGAAGGAGCTCATGGAGCGTCTTAAGAAGCTCTCAGTGCCAGCCAGTGATGAGGAGGGAGAGGGTAAATGACCTGAGAGGAATGGGTGCCTGGAATCCCTGAGCTGTGAAGAGTGAAGTGTCTCATTCCTTGATCTATGAGTTGGTTTAGATTCAGGAGCCAGACATCATCATTTCCTGCCTCATCTTTTTTTCTTGTCATTTCAGTACCTGCCCTGATACCCCGAGGAGGGAAGAAAACCAAGGTAAGTCATCTACATGATAAACAGACACCTCAGGGGTACAACTTTGACCATCCCACTGACTTCTCTGGCCCTTTCATTCTCCAGGGAGGTAATGCTTTTGCAGCCCTGATTCAGGATCAGAGTGAGGAAGAGGAAGAGGAAGAAAAACACTCCACTAAGCCTGCCAAGCCAGAAAAGAATCGGATCAATAAGGTGAAAGCAGTGGCCCTGCTGGGCATTCCTACTCCATGTAGCACCTTCCGGCAGTGGTGTGCTAATTTCCTAGCTTGATTTCCTGCTCTTGAGCCAGCTCTTCTAGGTCTGTCTTGCTTAAACTGTCAAAATCAGCTTTTTTCTTTTCTTTTTTTTTTAAGATTTTATTTATTTTTAGAGACAGGGAAAAGGAAGGAGAACAAGAGGGAGAGAAACATTGATCAATTGCCTCTTGTGCACACTACCTACTGGGGGTTAAAGCCACAACCCAGGCATGCATGCGTCCTGACTGGGAGTGGAACCTTTTGCTTTGTGGGATGACACCCAACCCACTGAGCCACACCAGCCAGGGTGAAAAAAATCAACTTTTTAAAATACTCTTTTCATTACTTGGAAATCTACAGTGATTCTGTTGCTTTCATACTCAAAATCTAAAACAGAAGCCTTCAAGTCTTTGTTCTTCCATCCGGGGGTCTTCCATGTGTATCTTGCAGATTGTTCTGACTGCATCTTGGCATCCAGCTGACTATTCTCTGTGTTGAAGCTTTTGTTCTTTATGCTGTGTCCTCCATCTTCCCTAGAATGCCATCTCCAAGCTTGTGTCCATTACCTCCTCCTCTCAAGATTCACCCTCTGAAGGAAGCCCTCTCACACTGTGATCCCCCACTCGCGCAACTCACTGTGTGACCCACAGGCAGATGGTTTCTAGTTTTCACTGTCTAGTGTCAAGTTGGAAGCTAGGGTTTTTGTGGGTGTCATTTCCTCCCTAGTACCACTTAGTACAGTCAACTTTTAGTCCTAGGCTCCCTAGAAATGCTTTTTAAGCAACAAAGTAGCAAATTAATTTGTGTGTGTGTGTGTCTTCATGTCCTCTCCAGGCGGTATTTGAGGAACGACAACCAGGACTCAAGAACAAAAAGGGGAAGGCCAAGGTGAGGGAGTAAATTGGCAGGAGGATATACTGGGTCTCAAGAATTTGAGCATTTCATTAGACCTGCTATCTTTTCCCTGTTAGCCTCAAAATAAATTTTCCACTCTGGACAATGAAGATGAAGAGGATAAAAAAGAAGACACAACAAAGGAAGAGGAGCCACCCCAGCAAGGAAAGGAGAAGGCCAATAAGGCGGAGCAGGTATGCATTTTGGTGTTGGGGGAGGAGGCCAAGAACTGGTGGTACTGTTACTATGCACAGCAGGAGTTGGCAAATGTCTGTAAAGGAGTTGCCACATAGTTAATATTTAGCTTTGCAGGCCATATACAATCTCTGGCACATATTTTTCTTTCTCTCTCTTTTTTAACGAGTCTTTGAAAATGTAAAACCCATTCTTAGTTCAGGGCCATATAAAAATAGGCCACAGGTCAGATTTGGCCTATGGGCCACAGTTTGAAACCCCTGATCCAGAGAGGAAAGGACCTGGCATTAGCCTGAAATGGTCTGGCCTTGTGCCTTGAATATATCTTCCCACTTCCTTGGTTCTCAATTATCTCATCTACGTGGTAGGAGGGAGTCGAGTGATCTCTACAGTCCCCTGTGTACTTAATGCTTTCTCATTCTGGATTCTGCTGCATCCCTCAGTGGCTGTATTTAGGGCTTCCAGACCTTTTCTTTGAATGTTAGTGTGTAAGCTATAGTAATGACGCACAGAGCCCATGATGCCGTCAGTTACATTGCATTGATAGTTCTGTGCACAAGTGCATGTACATTGTTTCATCTGTACTCCTGTCATCTACCTTGTACCATTGGTGCTGGCAGAAATGCACAGGAGACATGGGATAGGTATGAGAATGAGAGATGGTCCACCCCAATATCTTAGGACTCTAGGTACAGAAGGAAGGAACTGACTGTTGAACTGGAGATGGATGACATGAAATCTGAGTTCTAGAAGGGGACCTTCATTTTTTATCATCCCTTAGTTCTCACCAGGTTCAGAGGAAGAAGGAGAGTCTAAGGCTGATGACCCCTATGCACATCTTAGCAAGAAAGAGAAGAAAAAGCTGAAGAAACAGGTAAGACCTTAGGTTCTTAGTGGTCAAAGGCAAGGAAATTATTTTTAAGCTTCAGCTAGGGGACATGTGAATTGAGGGACAAGAAGGGGAGCTTTGAGCACTACTTCAAGTAAAAGCATCAGAGTAGGGAAAGAACAATGTTCTGTGAGCCTTGTCTTGGTGTCTGATGACATGGGGCTGTATTGCGGTGACGGAAAACTGGCAGACAGTGGCTTTTCCCTCCTTAGATGGAGTATGAGCGCCAAGTGGCTTCATTAAAAGCAGCCAGTGCTGCTGAGAATGACTTCTCTGTGTCACAAGCAGAGGTGTCCTCCCGCCAAGCCATGCTGGAAAACGCATCTGACATCAAGGTAAGGATAGGTTTCTCTAGCTCACCAGGAAAGTGCTGGTTCTCTCACCTGTGTTGCCCTGGCAGCCAGGGAAGTGGGGTGTGAGTGGCTTAGTCCTTTGCAGGAAAGCTTGGAGGCATCTTCCATACCTTGAGTTCTGCCACCTTGAGCAGGAAGATAGAAAAATCAATAGAAGTGTAGAGTGTCTACCCTTGTAGGGAAGTAAGTGGAACAGGCCTGTTGGAGGCAGTGGGCAGGGAGGGGACTGGCCTGAGGGGATTATGGAGGGGATTATGCCAGAGGTCTCAATTTGCCAGAGGCTTCCTTGCAGGGAGAAATCTCTGCAAGGGACAGTAGCTACTGTCTGAGAGGGAAAATTCTCACTGTTCCCATTCCTACTATCTGCACTGCTTCCCTAATGGCTGCAGCTGGAGAAGTTCAGCATCTCAGCCCATGGCAAGGAGTTATTCGTCAACGCAGACCTGTACATTGTGGCTGGGCGCCGCTATGGGCTAGTGGGACCCAATGGGTGAGTAGAGGAGGGGCTGGAAGGAAGAGTAGAGAGTTCTCAGTGATGGCCTAGTCCTAATAATTCTCATTCCGCAGCAAGGGCAAGACCACTCTCCTAAAGCACATTGCCAACCGAGCCTTGAGCATCCCCCCCAACATCGATGTGTTGCTGTGTGAGCAGGGTGAGGCCCCTGGTGGGAAGGTAGTTCCAGGGGTGGGTGTTGGGGTGGCCAACCAAGAAGGGAAGCAGTTGTAGTGGGGTTGGAAAGGTTATGTGGGGAACCTGGGGACCGGGACTGGAAAATGATGCTGCAGAAAGAGGGAGGAAGTGAGGATGCAGGACATTTCATTTGGGACAGGTACAAAGAGCTGGGCAGGGTCAGGCAAACCAGAAATGGACCTGAAGGGCAGAGGGAACAGGATCCATCACCCTTGGGGTGGCTTGACTGTCTTCCCCTCCCCCAGAGGTGGTAGCGGATGAGACACCTGCAGTGCAGGCTGTTCTTCGAGCAGACACCAAGCGATTGAAGCTGCTGGAAGAAGAGCGACAGCTTCAGGGGCAGCTGGAGCAGGGTGATGACACAGCTGCCGAGAGGCTGGAGAAGGTAGAGGACTCATGGCACAGGGTCATGGGCTGAGACTTGGGGGTTCGTAAGACTTCAGACATGTAACATCTTCCTCCTCCTAGGTGTATGAGGAACTGCGGGCTTCCGGTGCAGCAGCTGCGGAAGCCAAAGCCCGGCGGATCCTGGCTGGTCTGGGCTTTGACCCTGAAATGCAGAATCGGCCCACAGAGAAGTTTTCAGGGGGCTGGCGCATGCGTGTGTCCTTGGCCAGGTGGGCAGCACCCCTATCACCCTCTCTTCATTCTCAAACCACCAGGCCCTTTCCCATGTTCCCATTCATCAAAGGCAAGCAGGGAGGTTCGAGGCTGAAGTCTCTCTTCCTTACCATCTGTTGTCAGACTTCAGGCCTCTTCTCCATTTCTCTCCCTACCTGGTTGATATTCTCATTGATGTCTCCTGCATAGGAACTTCTTTAAGGAGAGATTGGAAGGCGTGTTCATGGTCTCAGGCTTTGCCTACCAGTAGCTGCTCTGGGGTTCTCTGAGCAAGGATCTTCCCCCTCTGACCCTACACTTTGCTGCCCAACCCTCTAGGGCACTGTTCATGGAGCCCACGCTGCTGATGCTGGATGAGCCCACCAACCACCTGGACCTCAATGCTGTCATCTGGCTCAATAAGTAAGTCGCCCTTCAAGCCTTGGCATCAGTGGTTCTCGTGCTGCCTTGTTTCCTCCAGCTCTTCTCCACTCTGCCCTTGATGCACTCAATCCAGCTGGCCCTTTCCCTCCCTGTCCCCATGTCTGTCTGCTTCCTATGACTTAACTCATATTTAACCATTGTGACCTTTCCACACTCTTCTCTAAAACCCAGCTACCTCCAGGGCTGGCGGAAGACATTGCTCATCGTCTCCCATGACCAGGGCTTCCTGGATGATGTCTGCACTGATATCATCCATCTTGATGTCCAGCGCCTTCATTACTATAGGGGCAATTACAGTAAGTAGGGTCACTCATGGGTAGAAGAGAGAGGTGGGGCCCCAAAAAGAGGCCTGGGAGGGAGGGCCATAGGGACATGGTGATGAGCTGGGTCTTCTCAGAATCTAGACACTGATGCCTGTCCATCCCATCCTCCTCAGTCCTGATTATCCCTTTGTCTGCTGGGGAGAGGACACCCAGTGATGCCCCTCCTCCTCTTCTGCCCCAGTGACCTTCAAGAAGATGTACCAACAAAAGCAGAAAGAACTGCTGAAGCAATATGAGAAGCAGGAGAAAAAGCTGAAGGAGCTAAAGGCAGGTGGCAAGTCCACCAAGCAGGCGGTAAGGTCTTTCTGTGGTTTTCTGGGGATGAGGGCTCTTTTCAGGAGAATAAAGAAAGAACAGACCCTGGGGAACCAACCTGCATTTCAGGGACCTCTGTGAAGGTACGGTTTTCTCGCTTTCCCTCTTCTATCTAGGAAAAGCAAACAAAGGAAGCCCTAACTAGGAAGCAGCAGAAATGCCGACGGAAAAACCAGGATGAGGAGTCACAGGAGACCCCTGAGCTCCTGAAGCGCCCCAAGGAGTACATTGTTCGCTTTACATTCCCCAACCCCCCGCCACTTAGCCCTCCTGTGCTGGGCCTGCATGGTGAGCCACTCTAGCTCAGCAGCACAGGGTGGAATGTGGGTACCCCAGCTCTCTTCTCCAGAGCCAGGACATGGGGGAGGGACCTTCAGGGTAATGGAATAGAAGAGAAACTGCTTCCTTTCCTGGCTTTCAGGTGTGACATTTGGCTATGAGGGGCAGAAACCACTCTTTAAGAATCTGGATTTTGGCATTGACATGGACTCAAGAAGTGAGTTGGTTTGTGTGGGACAGGAGCCACAGGGAGAGTGTCTGGGACTTCTTTGACCATCTCTCTTGCTTTTTGCAGTCTGCATTGTGGGCCCTAATGGTGTGGGGAAAAGCACCTTGCTCCTGCTCCTGACAGGCAAGCTGACTCCGGTGAGTCCTGGAGCCAGGCAGGGAGGTCGGTGGTGGGGGTGCATGGGAAGTGTGAAAATGTGCTCTTCAGCCCTGGCTGGCGTAACTCAGTGGATTGAGTGCGGCCTGCAATCCAAAGTGTCGCAGGTTCGATTCCCAGCCAGGGCACATGCCTGGGTTGCAGGCCATGACCCCTAGCAACTGCACATTTATGTTTCTCTCTCTCTTTCTCCCTCCGTTCCCTCTCTAAAAAATAAATAAAATCTTAAAAAAAAAAAACGTGCTCTTCACCCTAGGCTAGAATCAGGGAGCCCCTCTGCAGGGGAGAGTAAAACACAGAACTTAACCACAGATGACTCGTTTCCCTAAGGGTTACTGTGGAGAACAATTTAGATCAATTTAGGGAGGAAAGCCAGGAGATTGGGATTCAGAGCAGGGGTACCCCCATGTGGGTTTTAGTTATACAAGAAACATGTTACTTATGGACTAATTCAAATTACATAAGCCAAAGAAGAATCTAGAGATAATCTAGAGATTAATTTTCATGGATAGCTTTCTCCTTTTTTCCTTTGCAAATGTGCTGCTGCTTTTTTTTTTTTTTTTTAACAAAAAACAGGCTATCACATGAATTGTTCTGTAGCTAGCTTTTTCCAGATAATATATATCAAGCATTTTTCCATGCCAATAATTATATGGATAAACCAGATTTAAACCATCAGTCTTTTTAATTTAACTTTATTTATTTTTAGAGTGGGGAAGGGAGGGAGAAAGAAAAGGAGAGAAACATCGTGTGTGGTTGCCTCTTGTGTGCCCACTACTGGGGACTTGGCCTGCAACCCAGGCGTGTGCCGTGACTGGGAATTGAACCAACAACCCTTTGGTTCACAGGCTCATGCTCAATCTACTGAACCACACCAGCCAGGACTGCCATCAGTATTACATTTTTTTTTTCCCACTAAATGACAATACTATAGCAAATATTCTTATTGTAGATCTTTATGAATTCAGTTTTTCTTTTTTTTTTCCTTTAAGATTTTATTTATTTATTTTTTTAGAGAGAGGGAAAAGGAAGGAGAAAGAGAGGAAGAGAAACATCAACGTGTGGCTGCCCCTTGAACTCCCCCAATTGGGGACCTGGCCTGCAACCCAGGCATGTGCCCTGACTGGGAGTCGAACCAGTGACCTTTCGGTTCGCAGGCCCGCGCTCAATCCACTGAGCTACACCAGCCAGGGCAAATTCAGTTTTTCTTAAATTCATTGCTTTTAGGACTTTGGCAGTATATTGCCCTAAAATGCTTTAGGTAGGTTGTAGCCACCTATCCTCCCTCCATCTGTCACCCTCCTGTTTAGAGGGCCAACACACAGTAACCTTTAGGAAGGTGCTCTTAGATCCTCCTGCAGCCTGTCCTTAACCCCTGTCTGAAGTGGTGCTCTGAGAATGGGCCGTTTGTGAGTCCCTCTGGGTGGCAAGGGGTGTTCTTTAGTTGTGGTCAGTCCTCTCCTGGTTCTGAATCTGTACTTTGTCACCCCTCCTTCATTCTCCGTCTCTTACTCCCTTTTTTCCCAAATTTTGATTTCCTGGTGTGCCTTTGTCACATTAGGAAGAACTTCCATGTTCCCTTTCTCATACTGACCTACTCCCAGACCCATTCTTGTGTTTGTCTTCCCTTTACAAAAGTTGGGGTGTGGCCCTACAGCACCTTTTTCCTTTCCCTTATCTCACCCCTTATTCTTTTTTTGCAGACTCGTGGAGAAATGAGAAAGAACCACCGGCTGGTAAGTTGGCTTTAGGAATTAGGGAATGAGTCCAAGAGAGGAAGAGTGGGACTTTTGACTAACCACTTCCTCTCCTCTGGGGCAGAAAATTGGCTTCTTCAACCAGCAGTATGCGGAGCAGCTGCGCATGGACGAGACACCCACCGATTACCTGCAGCAAGTCTTCAACCTGCCCTACCAGGATGCCCGGAAGTGCCTGGGTCGCTTCGGCCTTGAGAGTCATGCCCACACCATCCAGATCTGCAAACTCTCTGGTACTACTCTAGGGGGCTGGGGAAAGTCCTCCTCAGTATTCATATCCACAGCTGTATCCAGAGGCAGAAGGGAAGAGGAACCAAGGCTTGGGGGCCTCAGTACACACACAGGCACACATTCAGGGTTGACCTGCAGAAATGCAAGGCTGTCAGAGTGTGATGGACTTCCTTTTTCTCTGCTTCAGGTGGGCAAAAAGCCCGAGTTGTGTTTGCAGAGCTGGCCTGTCGGGAGCCAGATGTCCTCATCTTGGTGAGTGAGCTGGACTGCAGGAGAGGGGTAAGTTACAGGTAAGAATTCTAATGCTCAGTCATTGTATACCTCCTCCTCCGCAGGATGAGCCCACCAATAACTTGGACATAGAGTCGATTGATGCTCTGGGGGAGGCCATCAATGAGTACAAGGGTGGTGAGTTAGCTTAAAATTCACCTCTTTCTTCCCCTGGGGACCAGGCTTCAGTGGCCTTTGGCTAGGGTTTGCTCCCTTCTTTTGTGCTCTGATTTTCTCCTCCTGCTTTCTCCCCACCCTCATTCTTACCATCTTTCTTCAAAGCTGTGATTGTCGTCAGCCATGATGCCCGGCTCATCACAGAAACCAACTGCCAGCTGTGGGTGGTGGAGGAGCAGAGTGTTAGCCAAATCGATGGTGACTTTGAGGACTACAAGCGGGAGGTGTTGGAGGCCCTGGGTGAAGTCATGGTCAACCGCCCCCGAGAGTGATCTCCCTTCCCAGAAGACCAGCTTGTGTGACCTGGATGCCCCCTGTTGTCTCTCTGTCTCCACTCGGAAGCCTGCCTCTGTTCTGCAGCTGACAGGGAGGCAGAGGTGGTCTTGATATGATTAGAATGCCACTTCGATTGCTTCCTTTCCTGTGAAAGATTTGTTCACTTTTCCTTATAAACTAGTCTGGCCTTACTTTTGACACTTCCCTGTGCCGAAAGAGATGACCATCTTCATTATTGTGGGTTCCATCCAGCCAAACTTAGGTAACCAGAAGTTGTCCTGAGTCTCTCTCATCACTCTGCACCCTGCCTCTGGTCCACTTTAAAGCTTCCAGCCCAGTGGCCCCCTGGTCTTTTGAGTGATGCTGTTCTTTTTTTTTTTTTTGATGGATTTCGTGCTGACTTTGTGATACAAATGGCTGTGGCAGTTCAACTGAGGGAGAAGTCTGAGGCCTGAGCTATTATCTGGCATTTGGTGTGTGCAGTCTCTTGTCTAGTTGGAGACTTGGGGGCAGGAAAGGAACACTACTGAACTTGAATTTCCCTGTACAAGGGGAAAGAATAAAGGAAAGGAATTACTGGTGCCCTGTCTGTTTGGAGATTCATGGGAACTGGAACTGTTTTTGATCTTGATTTTCTTCCTTTTTTTTTTCTTCCTCCCTCCCTTCTTTCCCTCCTTCCTTCCTTCCTTCTTCCTTCCTTCCTTCCTTTTTCTTTCTTTCAAATAAAGATTTTATTTATTTATTTATTTTTAGGCAGATGACTGGTGGGAGAAAGAGAGGGAGAAAAACATCAATATATGCTTGCCTCTCATGCACCCCTCTACTGGGAACCTGGCCCATAATCCAGGCATATGACTGGGAATCAAGCCAGCGACCCATTGGTTCACAGGCTGGTGCTCAGTCCACTGAGCCACACTAGCCAGGGCTGATCTTAATTTTCTTTATTCAGTTTTCTGGTGGCATTTAGTATCCTCACTTCCCCACTAATACAGATGGATCTAACCTGCACTCTTACTACACTTACAATGGTGCTTGCTCTGAGGAGCCTCCCTCTCTTCCCCTCACCTTTCAGACAGGGAGAAGGGAGAAAGTCCAGGACACTCAGGTCTCTCACTGTACAAGGTCTGCCCCTGTGGTCAGGGACCAGCTACTAAATCACCCGACATGTAGAGTACTGGGAGTTATACCAGAAAGGGAAAGACAGAATCTGCCTTCATGGATAGTTAGAGAAGGCTTAGCAAATAAGACATGAATGTACATTGTGATAGGATTAATTGCCAGTGCATGGTTCTCTAGACTCTTAAGTTGCTACATGCCCCTAGAAGGGAAAGATTATCTGGAATGTGATTTTTGGGAGGATCACTTGAAAAAAAAATAAGGATTTGAATAATGAGGGAACAGAGAGCCATATCTGGAACCATGAAAGAGCAGATCTAAGGCTTGGAAGGAAGAAAACCAAAACTGTATAGGAGTTAATGAGAGAATATGGCTGGAATGGCCACTTTTCTTAGTTTTTGAAGAGGTGGGTTTGGAAAGTAAAATACAAGTGGTGGGTGGTGATTTTAGGTAGTGATAGGCAAGGCAAACTGTAGAGCCATGATTGGTATAGCTCAATGGGCTTGGCATCGTCCTGCAGACAGAAAGGTCCCCGGTTCAACTCCCAGTTGGAGTACATACCTGGTTTCTGGACCAGGTCACCATTGGGCACATATGAGAGGCAACCAATTGATATTTCTCTTTCTCTCCCTTTCCCTCTAAAAATAAAATCTTTTTTTTTTTTTTTTAAGGCAAACTGTAGAAACTTACAGGGGTAGACCCCATACTTCCGTGGGGAAGAGGCAATCCTGAACTAGACAGGGTTGGAAAGGACAGGGCAGATGGAAGGACCAGGTATGGGAACTGAAGACAGGAGGGTGATCAGTGTAGCTAACCTTTTCTAGGGAGATATAAAGAGCTGTTTGGTTAAGACTGAGGTCGGAACTCTAATTCTGGGAAATTATTTTCTGGCCAATTGAATAAATGAAACTGGATTTCTAGTAAAAGTGTTGCGCGTGGGTCCCCGGCCAGCAGTGACCACGGCACACTGTGGATGGCTCGACAATACGCGAGAAAAAACACACATGCACAGAGACAAACCAGTTTCTGTGGGGAAGTAGGGACAGAATGGCCACCCCCCTAGTGGGGAGCGCGCTGATTTACCGTCCATACCTGCTTTTATTAGGCTCATGCTACATAATAACTCAGGTAACATACAATACTCATTAGGGGAAGTAAGGAACATATAAAACAAAGAACTCTGCCGGTCTATTGAGTTGGGGGGTCAAAGAGCTGTAAGGCTGAGGAACAAACTAGCTTCCTCCTAAGACCCTCCTCATTCAACTAAGAGCATTCTTGGACAAAGAAGGTTTCACAGTAATTTACATGTTCTTTCTTAGGCCTGATCACCCCGGGAAATCCGCACTTCCCAGTACCGAGCTGCACTTCCCCGTCATTGTTTCAGGCTTAGGTGGAGCGCGGGAACTAAGGCCACCGAGAGATAAGGAGATTTTCTTCCGGACGCTGAGAACTCAGACTTTGTCAAAGCCGAGGAGTGAGGGTCCATCACCCCCCTTTTGCTGCAGCCCCCCCCCCAAGTCCTTCTTTTGGGGGGGGCCTCCCAAAAGTGATCGTGCCTGGCTTGGGTTGTTCCCCCGTGGGGAATCTTACCCGTCTTTGGCTAACCGACCAAGCTTTTTTTGGGGTTCCGCAGCAGAAACAGCATTACTGCCAGGGAGATAAGCTTTTTTCTCCTTGCCGGCTCACGGTTCCAAGGGCGTTCCCTTAGCTTTAGCCTAGGCGGGGGTCTCAGCTTCTAATACCAGTCAGGGCGGTTCCCAACATATCCCCCTTTTTTAGTTTTTTTTTAAAATCAATTGTGGTCGTTAAGCCTGTGAAACCTACTTTTGCTGTTTTCGAATGCAAATCAGAAGAAAAGCAACATCTACATACATCATAAGGCAATAATAGAAATATAAAGCAGAAACTAAATTCTATGGGTGGTGAATACCTAAATTTCTAAATTCAGTGCAAGAAAACATATTAAGGGAAAAAACAAAAGTAATAGGTCTGATTACATTTCAATCTTTGAGAGAAATTACATAGATATCAGGAAAGGCAAATTACAAGGCAGTTTGAGCATAATGCAAGCCTGACTTCTTACGAGAGGATTTCTTAACAGGTGCAGTTCTGCGCACCGACTCATCACCTACTTTCTTACGTGGGTGTTGAGTTTTAATTTTACGCCTGCCAGAGTGGTTTCTCATACCTTCTCCCTTGTTTTCAGTTAGGACTGCTAAGGGTTCCATAAAGGTGGCTACCTGCTGGTCTCTGATACGACCCTGGGAAAACAATTTGCAAATACACCGAAGTACACAAATCAATATCACAATCAGTAAACAACCAGCAGCTCCAAAAACCCAAATTCTCAAATTAATTCCATCAAACCATGTTTTAGGATTCAGCCAATTAATATTTTCATTAAGGGCTTGAAAAATGTCCTGTTTGGTTAAACGTTGAATGTCCTGCAGCTGATGATGTAACTCCAACTGCAATTTATCAATTTGTCCTTTTAAGTTAGTGGAGAAAGCTCCCCTCAAGCGATGTTGTATATCAGTCCAAGTATGTTGGCTGGAATTCCACTGTAGCGGTGTGACACACAGTCTGGAGAAACCAGGGTCACAGGTTAGGTGTTGACGAATCACGAGAGCGTCCTGGCGTTCGCCAATCCAGTCCAGTGCTGATTCAACTGCAGAAAGGCGGGTCAGGATCTCCTGATCTATTTGAGCCTGTTGGACTAATTCTAAAGTAGCATTGATTAAACCATAAGTGCAACCAGGTGTTAACAAACTGTCGGACTCATAAGGAGAGCAGTGCATTGTTAAATGCTATAATGCCATTTGGATTCATTCATTTTCTGGTCATATTCTGGAGATAACAGATTTGGGAAAGAGTTGGAAGGCACAATTAAATCATAACCACTATTAACGACTGATCTTGTTAGATTTATGCAAAGAAACCTTATGTCATCATTCACTCCTTTAGAATGCCAAATTCTGGAGGGATCAGGTAGGGAGAAAAAATATAAAGTGTGAAGGAAAATCCTTTTCCTTCTGATATCTACCAGGCTTCTTAAAACTTTCACTTCCACAGACCTTCTGCAACATTCACAAACTCTCTATTCTTTTTCATACACTTTCTGATATCCACCAAGATTGCATCTCCATGCCTTATACCTTCAATTACTAACACACACCACATAATTCTTTCTTAAAACGTTTACTTCCACAGACTTTCTGCAACATTCACAAACCTTCTAATCTTTCTTTCATACTCCTTCTGATATTCACCAAGATTGCATTTCCATGCCTTATACCTTCAATTATTAACTAACATCACATAACTTCTTTCCTAAAACTTTTACTTTTCCATTTATCTTTACAGTTTCCCATTTACATTCCTAGAGTGTGAAGTTTCAACCTTCCCTGGAATCCTCAATTTCCTTTTCAGAGCAGATACAGAGCAAAATCCATCCTTCTCTGTGGGGGGTGAAGGTGGGGCCTCCGTGATCTGCTCACTCAATTTGCACACCGTTTCACTGTCAGAATCAGATTCCTCATCATCTAGCTCTGTTTTCTTTGCCCAAATGAACTCGAGAGAATCCCTGACAAGCCTCCAGGTTACAAAGGTGTGTGCACCAATAGATATATCACTGTTTTGCAAAGATTTCAACCTTTCACCCACTTTTTCCAAAACATCAATGTCTAACGTCCCTCTATCAGGAAATGAAGGACAACATTTTCTTATAGATTGCAAAAGCTGCACCAAATGCTTTTCTTTCTTATACTTTGTTATACTTTCTTATACTTCCTTATACTTTGCTTCTTTAAGAACTTGTTGTAATATACGCAGAAAAGATTTCTGCCCTTTAGATAAGTTACAACCTATGTTTACCTCCCTTCTTTTTTTTTTTTAAAGAAAAAAGCTTCCTTTTACTTATTTTTAATTGGCCAAAACAAATCACCTGATTACTTTCTTCAAGGCAAATCGTTTGTTTTTTCCCCAAACTTGAGAATTAAATTACTATTTACCCAATTATAGGCGGTCGCGAAGAGAGAAACGACCTAGAAAAGAAAGACCTACTTCCCTGAAAATTCAATGCATCCCACGACAAGCCCGAAAAGAGTTCGGGGTCGTTGGCCCTTACCTGGGCTGTTAGCGCGCAAATCCACCCGAAGTTGATGCGTTGTCCACAGCGACGGCTCGTAGCCGCTGGTTCCAAGTGGTCTCGAACGGGGTCCCACCTCTGTGGTCCCGAATCGCTGCCCCCACGTTTGGGCGCCAGCTGTTGCGCGTGGGTCACCCGGCCAGCAGTGACCACGGCACACTGTGGATGGCTCGACAATACGCGAGAAAAAAACACACATGCACAGAGACAAACCAGTTTCTGTGGGGAAGTAGGGACAGAATGGCCACCCCCCCTAGTGGGGAGCGCGCTGATTTACCGTCCATACCTGCTTTTATTAGGCTCATGCTACATAATAAC